TATAATTCAATTCAATTCAAAAATACTTTATTAATCCCAGAGGGAAATTATTTGTTGTTGTAACTCGTTATCCTCATTTCATTAAGAGATGTTATAGATACTGATGCTGTAGACAGGAGGGATCTCTTGTAAAGGTCCTTCCCACAATGGATCCTAAGAAACTGGCTGCAGATGTCGTCTGATCTGTCCACCCAGACTCGGCTGGCATCTCGGTTCCCCTCGGGCTGTAGGACCGCCCAAATGCTGGGCAAAACTCCTCCCAGAGCGATGGCCACTCCTCCCAGCAGTCTGCCGAGCTGCTCGTCACTGCGGATAGCCAACTGTAGGTGCCGAGGGACGATCCTGTCCTTCCGCTGTCACGAGCCATGTTTCCTGCTAGTTCCAGGATCTCAGTGATCAGGCACTTGAGCACAGCTGGCAGGTAGATGAGAATGCGTCCACAGAGCATCCTTTTCAACTCACTTGAGATTTGGGACTGTAGTTTGGATATTATTTGAGCTTTTGAGGTGTTAATCAGCTGCTGTTGGTTGTAGAAAACTGCCTTGTTGCCTTGAATGTCCAGAGGACCAGATTGAACTTTTTTGGATTTTTCTACCTGGATTATTGAGCATGCATCAAGATACTTGTTGCCATAGTTACGCATCATAACAAATGTCCAAAACTAAAAAAGTTTCAGTAAAAATACTTCCAGCTGCACAGCATCTGATACCAGAGGAAACAAACATCCAAAAAATGTGATTTACATCCAGAAAAAGAGAAATTAAAGTTTCCAAAATCAAAATCTCAAAATGAAAGTAACAGAGCTGCTCCAACATGCAGCCACCTTGAGCGGCACAATTCTAGAACATGTGTGAATGTGAATGTGTGTGTGTGTATATATGGTGGCAATATGTGGTTATATACAAAATAGATATAATTGTGTGTGTATGTATCAGAGTCAGTCAGAGTCAGAGTCAGAGTTTCTTTATTGTCATTCGCACCTCATGTGGTACATGTGGTGGAGCGAAATTATGTACACAGGGTCCCAGTTACATCCAACAATAAAATGTATAAGAAAAACAGTAATAACATCTAAGATATGAACTAAGAAATGCATCAACTAAATATACACTAAGCACTCATAACATAAAACATTGAACATCACCACAAACATGAACATGAGTCTGTGTGAGCAGATGTGCACGCATGAACACATCAACATTGAAACAGATCAGCAGCAACATGAAACAGATCAGCAGCAACATGATATGGTTTTTCACAGTGATTATTCTAGTTAGATATTCATGAGTCTAACAGCCTCAGGGTAGAAGCTGTTCCTCAGTCTAGTGGTTCTACACTTAATGCTCCTTAACCTCCTTCCTGAGGGGAGTGGGGCAAAAAGTGTGTGTGCTGGGTGGGTGGGGTCCTTCATGATGCAGGTGGCCCTCTTCCTGCATCTGGAGGTGTAGATGTCTGTGATGGTGGGGAGACTGATTCCAACAGATTTCTGTGCAGCCTTCACCACTCTCTGCAAAGCTTTTCTTTCTGCAGCTGTGCAGCCTCCATGCCACACATTGATGCTCGAGCACAGGATGCTCTCCACTGCACACCTGTAGAAGGAGGTGAGGACTGAGCTTCCCAGACCAGCTCGCCTCAGCCGTCTGAGGAAGTAGAGTCTCTGATGAGCTTTCTTGATCAGGCTGGTGGTGTTGTTGCTCCAGCTGAGGTTGTCATTCATGTGTACACCCAAGTACTTGTAGCTGGAGACCACTTCCACCGCAGATCCTCTTATGTTCAGGGGGGTGTAGGTGTTTTTGTTCCTTCTGAAGTCCACAATCATCTCCTTTGTCTTCTTCACATTGATGTGAAGGTTATTCTCTTTGCACCAGCTCTCCAGGTGTTCCACCTC